AGTCCACCCCATCAATGAATCCTTCATAATGAGCTACCTTTTGGACAATAATGAGCTATAAAACTTCAGCTCAAGAAACTAAGAGAATGAGCTCCATCCAAACCTCCTCCAATCAACCCGTTAACCAGCAGTAGTAAATGGACCAATCAAGCCAGCAAACCAAAGGTCTACCAAGCCTCATGCACAACCTACCATGATCACTGGATGCTTTTCCATCATTGGATAACTAAAAAAAGAAAAGAACATAAAATATACTATTGTTCAAATAAAAATAAAATTACAGAAACATTTGATAGCATCATATTTGCACAAAGAGAACCGGGTAATCAATGGTCTCGTTTGTTGTGTGATTGCATTTTGATAACCTGTGAATCAATTTACATTCATCAAAACTTGACCCTCAAATTACAAAGTTAATCTCTTTTTATAGAAATCGAAGAAATATATAGAATTTCATTCATATTTAAAGAAAACTAGAAAATATGAGTTAAAAAAGTGGCCAACTAATTCCTATATTATCTCCTTAGAAGTGGTTGGTTAGCCCTTAGGATAAGGATTAAAGACTAGAGTGAATATTTTGTAGTTTCTTTGATTCTTCAATTGTATTTCTATCTCCGCTTACCTTGGTTGCTCTCTCCTATTTTGAAATTTAGTTTGCAACTTTGCAATTTAGTCCTTAATTTATAATCGCAAATTAGTCCTTTCAAGATTAATTATCCTATATTCTTGAGAGCATTCTGAATCATTTACTTGATTTAGTTATATATTAAGAATGTAATTTAGTATCCAAGTGGATAATCTAGATGGAGAGGCCAATGATTCCTAAATTTTTGGGTGCACTAATCCAAATCCTCATACTAAACAAACTTTATGAGTGTGTTTCTTAGAATATTTAGAACAAGTTGAAGAAGTTTGTATTTGAAAAGAAAGATATTATTGGTTAAGGGATTTACACCATGAATTTCATTAAGTTTCATTTCCAGTTATACCGTAATTAAAACTGATTATTATGATATTTAAATCGTTTTATATTTTAGATTTCAATATATGCAGGACACGTGCATATCTACATATATAAAATTATTTGAATACACCTGATGGTAGACATCGATAGCAACTTTAGGCTTTCTATACACCATCACATCTGCATTCACAGTCCACTGTTTTTTTTTTTTTCCAAAGTTTGAATTTATGAGTTATGTCACGCACTTGAGTTTCTAGAGTTTAGATATATATTGATTTGTTATCTAGTTGTAAAGAGTCATTTACTTTAATTTCTCTTTTATTTACTAAGGGCGTTTTTATACTCTTATGTTTGGGGACTTTCCATTTAAGGACTTCTTAGTAAAGATATTTATGGTCAATAAATGATTTAAGAAATTATAGTACTACCTTAATAAAGTTCCAAGAAAAGTGCTCTGGAGAGTTCTAGAAAAGAAATGATTTAATAAGGTTTATATTCAAGTCATTAAGGATATGCATGTAGGAACTATTACTTGTGAAGACAAGGTAGTTTGACCAAGTATTTTCGTATTTCAGTTGGATTACATCAAGGATCAGCTTTAGATGTTCTTACTAGACATTTTCAAGAGGATGTAGGATGGTGTTTGCTTTTTGCTGATGATATTCTTCAATAAGACTAGAGAGGAAGTTGAAGGAATACTTGAATTTTGGATGCCAACCTTAGAGTCTAAAGGTTTTCTTTTGGGTAGATCTAAAATTGAAAGCATGGAGTATAATTTTAGTAGTAATAAATCTAGTGGGGGAATTGTGACTTTGACCAATCAACTCATTAATAAGAGTACACATTTCATATATATAGGATCTATGGTTCAAAGTGATGGTGAAATAGATGGGGATATTATTAGTAGAATTCAAGTTGGATGGTTGAAGTGTAGGAATGCATTGGGCCTATTGTGTGATAGAAAAGTACCCCTCAAACTTAAGGGAAAATTTATAAGATGGTGGTGAGATCTGCAATGCTTTTTGGTGCAAAATGTTGGCTATTAAAAGAGAAACATGAAATTAAGTGTTGCAGAGATGAGGATGCTCAGGTGGATGAGTCGTTTCAGTCTTAAAAGATAGAATGCGAAACAACTATGTATGTGAAAATATTGTAGCAACTCCAGTGACATATAAGATTAGCGAGAGTCGCCTTAGATGATTTAGACACATAAAATGTTGGCCTTCCAATGACCCGGTTAGTAGTAGATGTATTAGATTTGGTTTATGTTAAGAAATATAGAGGTAGATTTAGAAAGACTTTGCTAGAAAATATTAGAAATGATATTTTTCTTTTTATAAATTTAAATGAGAATTTGACTCTTAACAAGACACAATGGAGAAAAATGATTTATCTAGCTGGCCCCACATAGCGGGATAAAAGCTTGATGTTATTGTTGTTGGTGTCCTGAAATTTGGCTAGTCATGTTAAGGATGTGTAATGCTTCTTCTCCCTCTAATTCATTGATTCTGCTGAATAGTCAATTCGTTTGCTGAAATCAGCTGCTTACTGTTTCTCTATTACCTGATTTTGTTTTCGCTGTTTTTCTTTTCTGAAACCTGTCTACCCGCCAACCATCCTACAAACACCTCCTGCCCCTACTCCATCGCTAGAAACTGCTTAACGTATTATTTTAAAGTGAGTCTGTTTTTGTGATTCAAAGCCTTGACCTTCATATTCAAGTGGAGGCAATTAAGACTTCGTTTGGGATGGCTCTCTTTCTGCTTCTTAAAGAAGCTTCTTAATAAAAAAAAATAAATTTTTGTACCAGAAAGTTGCTTTAAGAATCAATAAAAAAATCTTCCTAAACGAAGCCTAAGTCATTGCTTCAGATCCACCCCTTTTATATAATGCAGCATCAAATCGCCCTCTTTCTCATTAGCTCTTAAATGAATGGCTATGTTTGTCGTTACTAAATCAAAAGGGCCACATGTCCATTAATTGTTTTACTCAAGCTAAGTATTGGTCTTATAGAATTATTTGAAGCTAACAAGCTATTTTTTTGATGATGATCCTGAATTAAAAGAGTATCTTAAATGCATGATAAAATTTTACCATTCATTTTTCTCACAGCTTACTGTAGAACATGAGCTTGCATTTTATCTACATCTGAGTCTATACACCAAGACATTCTGTTGCACTTAAACCAAGCTTTGAAAATTGTGTCAATTGTGAAAGGACATTTTAGCATGGATAATAATGAATCTGAAATTGAATAAGTTTGAGTCTACGCAGCTCATACTAGCTAAAAAGTCAGCTTTCACAATAAATTTCTAGTTTGATTCCCGAGAAGCTATGTATTTAAATTCATCCTATACAGATTATTCAACATGACGTTGATTTCTTAAATTTTGTGACTTGATAAAATTTTGCGAAAAAACCTTATAGTGTAAGAATTATATAAACAAGTTCTTAATCCATTTTTCAGCTAGTTTTTTAAGTTTCGTTCTACTAGAAATGCTTGCATTATATTCTTTTGCAGTCCTTATTGATCAGATACATAAAATCATGTTGAATAAATAAATGTAACTTCCATATATGATAAAAGTTTGAAAGCTCTGATTATTACTCATTATCATCTCTACTGTAAAAATGAGAAATGTTTCAAGTGTTATAGAAAGTTACAACTGCTGCATCAGTTGACATGACCACTGGTCGTAATTCTTTGTGTTGAGAAATTATTACTTAATGGAGGTATCTTTGAGCAGTACATTTTTGTGTTTCCACATGTGAAATATTTGTTTCTTCTGGAACATTTCTAATGCTATTTGTTCTAAAACTTCCTTCTTTAGCATCAAGTGAGTTTGAACTCCATGTCAAACCCTAGCTTGAACCAGGTACCATTTAATGATATGTAGCTGGCAAGTTATGTCTTCTTTTGAGACCTGACTTTGGTGCTGAGTGATTTGAGCCCATCCAAAGTAACTTCATCATTTCTGTTCACCACCACATTGGCAACGACATTTCATCATTTTTTTTAATAATCTAATGTATGCATAGTGACATTTATTTGAGTTATTGGAACTTAAATGTCATTTGCTTTGTTATCAAGCTGTTAAGAGTTTTTTTTTTTTTTGCGTATGAGAGACATTTCAATTCTTGGTATACTTACGGAATATTTCTATTTAAGAACTCCTCAGGGTTATATTTTGATAGTTTAAGAATGATTTCATAATTTTTCCACTCTTCGGAAATTTGGGTAAACATGCTGAGGTTATGTGATGCTTCTTATTTCTGTGTGATTCAGAGAGCCATGTAACATAGCAGGTATCCCGTTCTCCCTGCTTCTTCCATCCTCCTTCACTGTGTTCTTTGTAACTCTTGGATATTATCTACCAGAAATGGAATGGACCAAGTAAAGACGGATTAATATGATGTTAATACTACGAATGCTTGAATTCTGTCTACTTCTGTTAAGTTGACGCTTCAGATTGTCTCATTTCTTCTGACAATTAGAGTGATAAATGTTACAGATTGTGATTAGTAATCATTAAATCTCTGCAACATACACACAGTGTACTTAATATGTCAGATTTCTTGGACTGACATTTAGGTTGCAACTAATTCCCAAAGCATTGCTTGAATATGCTTTCTTATTGCCGATTGCTAGATTTACAGATCCAAATACATAGAGTTCTGTGGTAGAGCTTTGGTTCATCAGTGCTAACATATGCTGTAATGTGTTGTGATTTTTCGGAACGGGTGTATACAGGGAAATAAACAAATAAAATATACTTTGAGGTTTTTGTTAACAAAATTATATATATTTAAGGAAATATATGAAATTGTTAAATTATATTTCACTGGGATATTGATTTTTATTGATGCTGTTTATTTTTTTTTAATTAGAATCTCCTTTCGTTTGAAAAATTTTCTTAGTTTTTTTTTTTTTCTGGATATTGAAACAATAATGACGTAGTTAACAATAACATCCTGATGCTGAATATGATATCTTATACCAGAGCTAAAGCTCTTATCGTCTAAGTATTGATTTCAGGATGTAACAGCAACCAAAGGAAATGATTTTGAAGATTACTTTCTGAAGAGGGAATTGCTTATGGGTATATATGAGAAAGGATTTGAAAGGCCTTCACCTATTCAAGAAGAAAGCATCCCTATTGCTCTTACCGGACGTGACATTCTTGCTAGAGCCAAAAACGGGACAGGGAAAACTGCTGCTTTCTGCATTCCAGCATTAGAAAAAATTGATCAAGACAAGAATGTTATCCAAGGTTTCAATTCTTATTTCATAAATTCAACTAAGTATTCGTTGCTATCTGAAGTATCTGATATTGGCCCAACTGTTTTTTAAATTCCTTTTTCTGCAATATTGTTACATTTGCTCATGTAGTATTGCTAAATAACAATGAAGTGTCTTTCTTGTGAATTCTTTTGTTTAATATACTTATGTAGTGCTTCTATTTGTGGGTATTCATGTGACAATTCCTCTCTTTGATTCTCATGTGAGACTGATTTTTTTACCCTGAAATTTGCAGTTGTCATACTAGTTCCCACCCGTGAGTTGGCTCTACAAACATCTCAAGTTTGTAAGGAGCTGGCGAAGCACTTGAAGGTTCAGGTTATGGTTACAACTGGAGGAACAAGCTTAAAAGATGATGTCATGCGTTTGTATCAACCAGTCCACCTAATTGCTGGAACACCTGGTCGAATCCTAGATCTTGCAAAAAAGGGTGTTTGTGTCTTGCAGGACTGTTCAATGCTCATTATGGACGAGGTATGATAAAAGTGATCTGTTTCTATTGATATTTAATTTTGCAAGGTAGATTTTTTGCTGATTCAATTGAGTCCTTAGTTCTGAGCTTATTATCTTTGCTTGTTTTCATGTACCTTCTGCAATCTGTTTTTAGAATGCTTCTCATGGTTAGTGATTTACATCTTGTTGATTTATGAATTATGATAAATTGCCATTTTTGTTTGCCTTGAATGTATGATTGAATAGAACTTTTATGCTTTTGGCTTCCATAACTGGTCTTGCTGCAATGCAATAATTGTTTGAATTAGCTCTTTCTGATGCAGTGTTTGAATTTCTATGTTCTAATTTTTCTTGTCGAAGGCACTATTTTGCTTTGTTATATGCCTTAAATAGACTTAAAGAGGAAAGGACCAAAATGGTTCATCAACTCTTTATGAGGGATCAAAATAGCTCCTAACTATTTTGAGGGGTCCCTCAGCTCCTTAAAATGGGACCATTTTGGTCATGCTGTCAATTGTAAACAGAAAAATTGGATGGGCACAAGGGTATTATCGAAATAAGCAAATAAACACTACAAAACATTCTTCGTACTCTCCGCGTCAAAAACCCAACAACAAAACCCTTTGACCCCCAACGTCCTGCAGCGTAGTAGCCTCCACTGCAGTTTCGCCCCCCAGCGGGAACCGTAGAGTGTTAAGCTTAGCCTCAACCCAGCATCATGCAACGTCGATCGCGTTGATCTCCAGAGTAGTGAGCATGGATCACATCTATCACGCAGTCGATCCCAGCCCGCAGAGTTGATCCCAGCGTCACGCAGCTTCGATCCAGCTTCTTGTAGTGTTAGCTTCGATCACATCAATCATGCAATTGATCCTTAGAGCAGTGAGCGGGGATTGCATTGATCACATAGTTGACCCTGACGAGCACTGAGCGTGGATTTCTATAGTCGACCCCGTATAATGCTAGCTTAAACATTTTTAAAATAGTGAAATATTAAAACTAATAATATTTATAATTTTTTATTAAAGAAAAGTTTAATAAAATTTTTCACAAAAATTATAATCCCTAAAAAATTACATTTATTAAATATTTTAATTAAAAAAAGATCAAATTACCCTCATATTTAACACCATCAACTCTATTATTAGATGGCAGGACCAAAAAGGTCCCATTTGGGGAGTTGAGGGAACAAATTTGTCCCTAAAAAATGTTAAGGACCATTTTAGTCCCTCACAAATAGTCAATGGACCATTTTGATACTTTTCTCTAGACTTAAATATAATTGAAGGCAGCTACCCGTTTAAGATGCATGTGTTGTCAATTGTATGATTGATTATGGTCTTTGTTTTATTAGTTTTACTTAGGTAGCATTTTGCAATGAAATAATTTAGAATTTATTTTCTCTGGAGTCATTTATATAAATGTTTCAAAGTGTCTTCTTCTATAAAAAGGACCCTAGTGTATGCTGTTAATGATGGAATGCGTGGTTTTTGGATTTTGCTAAACCTCTGCACCTTGGTAAACTCCTTTTTCCTGATTCTCTCTCCTCCAGCCTTTATGGGATTTCTCTTTTTCTATTTTCTCTCTCTTCTCTCTCTCTCTCTCTCTCTCTCTCTCTCTCTCTCTCTCACACACACACACACACATTCTATCTTAACCTCTTTCATCCTATTAAACTTTCCTACCAACTTCAGTTTCTGCATTGTTTCAAATAGGGGCATGGCGCAGTGACTAAATTTTTGGTGAGACTACCGATTATCTCTCACTTTTTCTCCTGCACTAGAGCTGAACCGAGTAAATATTCAGTAGTTGTCAGACACAATATATTTGGATGTAATTAAGACAAATGAATGAGAGTGATAATGACATCCAATCATTCTCTCTCCCATTTTTCTTTCTCTTGTTACTCGATTAATGACATTTACCAACATCTTTCTTTCCTCCTTTTTACATTTTCCTTTCTAGAACTCTGCTATTAAAGACCAATAGGGGGCTCTTAGCAGATACTCCCGTACTTGTCCTCTTGACTTTTCCATTGGTCCCCAATTACTTGCCATTTCAGATAGAACGAAGGGATGGCTAATTGGCAGCACTCCCCCCATTGGGCATCTATTTTTATAGATCATGGGAGACCGATGAGACCACAAGCACAGATCCTATAGCTGGAGTGATAAGGGGACCCGAGAACCATAGGGGTGTTATCATGTCAAGCTTAGACATTTGGTGAAATGTCTAGTGGATCAATTTTTATCATAAACAATAGTTTTTGATCTATTCCATCCTTTTCTTAAAATATAGGTGTAAGTATTATTTTGAACATGTCTCAACGATTTGACCATTGTTTGCCCGACAATTAAGGTTTTCAAGTTGCCGTGAATAAGAAAAAAGTATGTTTTGGGCCTGTTCATCACTTTTTTTAATACCTGAAGTCCCTAAGTATTGCTTCATAGCTCAACAACTTGGCCATATTTTAGTCGAAATTAGTGTTATCCATATATGTCTTGAATAGGACTTCAATGGCATCTCCTGTTCGGTGCATGTATTTGCGTACTTAGGACCACATCCTTATCTAATAGCTTGTGCCCACTTCTTACAGGCAGACAAGCTTCTGTCTCCAGAATTCCAGCCCTCAATTGAGCAGCTAATTCATTTTCTTCCTGAAAATAGACAGATATTACTGTTTTCGGCTACTTTTCCTGTGACAGTCAAGGACTTCAAAGACCGATATCTGCGAAAGCCTTACATAATTAACCTTATGGATGAGCTCACTCTCAAGGGAATAACACAATATTACGCTTTTGTAGAAGAAAGGCAGAAGGTCCACTGCTTGAATACTCTTTTCTCAAAGGTTTGATTTTACATGAACTTATTGCTCTTTATGGATGGCAATACTCGTGAGATTGATGAACGTGGTTTCTCTTGGCAGCTTCAAATCAACCAGTCTATTATATTTTGCAACTCTGTTAACCGTGTAGAATTATTGGCTAAGAAAATTACTGAGCTTGGTTTTTCATGCTTCTACATTCATGCTAAAATGTTGCAAGACCATCGGAATCGTGTATTCCATGACTTCCGTAATGGTGCATGCAGAAATCTTGTCTGTACAGGTATAACTTCATAATCTTTCAACTATATTTGATAATCACACTTTTCTCTCAACAATTTTCAGTTATGAAAACTGATTTAGTGACAATTACTTTACATTTCCTTACATTATAATGATATTTTCTTAATTTCTCATTTCCACTTCAAAGCTAGTTAATTTCTACTTTCATCAATTTTTTTGCTACAAGGCACTTTATCAGCTTTGATTGGAAATGTGAAAAATCCAAAGCAATGGATTGTCATAATGATTTGAAGAAGAACAAACATTATTTTTTATTTAAAACAAATGAAAATGAGGAATATCCAAAGAAATTAAATAAGGTTTTTATGTTGGAATGATTAATGATAGAAATATGTTGAGATGGTAGTGGTTAGAGAGTTGAAAGATAAAATTGTTTGGATGAATAAGATTGATAGGATAGTTGCTGTTAACATGATTATTTGTGAGGCTCAATGCTTTAAAAGGCAATAACATATTGCAAAATGTTTTACCCGTCGAAGGCTTGGCATAATCTTTGAGGGATAGGATGTAAACTCATACGAATTATATTTTTATGCCCTATAATAAAAAAATTAAAAACAAAATAAAATATTTGATTCCATAACATATGATTCATAAAAATTTTGAAGCATAATTGACGCATCATACAAAATCAAATCAAATTAGTTGTTAAAATAAAGCAAGACAACTTGCACTCATCAAGACATAAGTGTTGAAGTCTTCTTCTCTATTTGATATGCTATTAGAAAAATTAATTTTTTAATTTGAGAATTTACTTAAATTGAAAGGTTGTTTTATAACTGAGCAATGCTATATAATTAATAATTCAAAGTTAATTTAGGTAAACTTATATCAAGGTGCGTTTGAATCACCAATTGGGCGTAGATGTGCCCTATGTGCGGTGGATGAAATCTTGACATATATACCCTATAGTTCAAATGTTTTCGAAGAATATCTTAAGTTTTTTTTTTTTGTTTTGCCTCACCTTGAGGCGTTCGTTTAGCCTAGTCCCAAAAATGCCTTTCAGGACATTGGCTAGGTTATTATAAATATAATTAGTGTTTATACTCTTTAAATTGTATTAGAAAATAATTTGATAAGAGATAGATGAACTATTACAATGTTTATCTGAGGAAAAAAGCTATCTATTGGGGGCCATTTAAATGGTCAAATATATTATAGTAAGATAGGCTATGGAATAATTTATGGTGATTGTGGAATATGAGATTAAATGCAATGAAAGAAGCTATATTTGACTAATATTGGGTTATGATCTTGTAATAACTAGCATATACTTTAAAACTAATAATGGTTAATTGTTTTAAAAAATGGAGCAGTGGAATCATGGATAATCTTCTTTTTTACTTAGAAGACAATTTTTTGTGAAGCTTGAATGGTGATTCTTGTGGAGAATTTTACTATATGAGTTAATTTAGTAGTTATGGATCTATATTCTAAGAGTATGAATAAAATGATGTGATTACTTTCAAAATTAAGAACACTTGATTACTTTCAAAATTGGAGCTATGAAATTATGGATAGTCTTATTTTTGCTCTAAAGATATATTTTTTTTTGTGAAGCTTGAATGGTGATTCTTGTGGAGAATTTAACTACATAATTTCATGGGATGGTTATAAATCAATATTTTAAGACTATAAAGAAAATGAGCAAAAAGAACAATTCTTCTAGAATTAAATGGTGAAATTTATTCTTACATGTGAGGTTGCTAAGAAAGCAAATTGGATTTTTTTTTTATAATTTGAGCCAGATTAGTATAGCATAAGGCTAGTTCCATTAAAATGTTCCTATAAGAGTTTTAGGAGTGTTTAGATATGAATTTTATATCAGCATGGAGACTTGCTAGTGGAGTGAGGAGGTACAAAAAATTATTTAGGAAAGAAGTGTGCGTTTAAAGAGCGGTAAAAGTTTAAGTTGTTGCCTTGTTGGAACACAAAGATCAAATATCAAGCAAATACATAATCATGAAGATTAAATGCGCAAGACTCAAATAAATTTTGTGACATAGTCAAAATCAAACATGCAGACATTGAGGGTTGGATGTACATTCCCAATTTGCATGGTCAACATCCAAAAATCAATAATGTGATGATTGAGATTAAGCAAGGCAAGCTTCAATCAAGATGCAATTGCACATGCTTACCCCTCCCTTGTTTGGAATGAACATATCCTTCATTGTAGAGCACTCCACCTTTCATACAAAGTAAGGCTTGGACATACCTTTTCATGTTGAGAACTACATAATGGAATGAAGTCCACTCTCTTTCTAAATCAAGCATGCCAAATTTTACCTTGCTTACAGTGTCACCAATTTTCTTTTATTGTCATGTTCGCTCCTTACATGTTATTAATTCATGTGATATATTTTAATTAGCTTAAAATCTTCCTTGTAAGCTGGGGCCATGCACTCTGCTCCCTTTAGGCTTGAATTTTGTTCATATAAACAGGAGTCATGTAAGAGTGTTTTATTTATGAAGTAATAAAATTATTTGTGCTTATGTATGAGTGCTTTAAAGTTCAGTTTTGGTGATCTTTTCCTTAAAAGTATATTTGATGATGTTCTCCAACTTTGAAGTAATTTGGTGAAGTTTTAAAACCCTCATCATTATCTTATAGTTCTTCGATGAAAATACAGATTACAGTTAATGATTGTCATCTCCGCTTATTATTATTTCCATTGCATTCCACGTGCCCCTATTTTGCAATCTCTCGATCAAACTTGTATTATAGGTTTAGGATGACTAAATAACCTTCACTCCGCTCTAATTAGTCACCTTACAACCCCACATAATCATCTCTCAGTCAAAATACATAAAATCCACCAAGAAGCCACCTGTCACTCTTAAACCTTCATCCTCCTAATACAAGAGAATGAGCCTCTATATATAGGCCTCAAGAGAAATTAAAAGTCACATTTGCCCCTTGGGCTTACATAAGACAAGAGGGTAAAAAAGGAAAATTGTGTAACTAAATTAAAATACACTTAGTAAACGAAAATAAAACAAAGTGATCTCGGTCGTCGATCTTTAGCTCCTCCTCGGACAAGCATGGACGGTTGGTTGTCCGCATCAGAGGAAGTGCTCTCTCTTTAGGGTGAACCCTAGTGTTGAGAATTGGTTAATCAAACAAGATAATTTGATCTGACGACCCACATAAGAAAGAGATTCAAAGCCATTCAAGCTCTTAGTAAACTTGTGATTCAACATGGATTTTACATCTTGGAAACATTTCAATCTTGGAGTAGCTTTATAACAGTGGAAGTAGACAATAAAAGTTATTAATAGTTTAATACCGCAAGGACCAATGCATGTAAAGAAGACTTTCAAACAACGAGTGTCTTTTTGTTTCTATCTATTTTGAAGGTTGGTTTCCTATATCTTTTCCATTATTTATTTCCTTTCAGCATGTCAATCATTTTTGTTTTGGCAGCGGGGAGGGGTTTGGGCATTTAGTATTTGGCCCACTTATATTTACAAATAAAATATAGGCTTCGTTTGGGATGGCTATCTTCTTGCTTTCTAAAACAGCTTTACAGTACAAAAATTTCATGAATTTGAAAATTTTGTACTAAAAAGCCGTTTTAAATAACAGTATGAAAGCTGTCCCAAACGAAGCCATAGTCTGCCTAACTGGTTTTCTATTAAATTTTTATTTATTGTAAATTACTTGTTCTTTTTATTGTGTTGCTTTGTTGTAGGCAGCAACTTTTTAATTGGAATATGGAAAATATATGTTGTCCATCGTTTGGACCGCTATCTTGCCGCTTTTTAAAGCGGTTTTTTAGTACAAAAGTTAAATTTTTTGTACTTCGAAAGCCGTTTTAAGAAGCATGAAGAAAGCCGTCTCAAACAAAACCTTAGTCTCGTGTACTGATATGACTAGTTTCTTCTTCCTTCAGATCTATTTACAAGGGGAATTGATATTCAAGCAGTTAATGTTGTCATTAATTTTGATTTTCCAAAGAACTCGGAAACATATCTACATAGGGTATGTTTCTTTTCTTGAAGGAATTTTGTTGCGTGTTTTATTTATACTAACATACTGGTCATCTTCCATAATAATTTCTTATTATTTTAGGTTGGTCGCTCAGGAAGGTTTGGCCACCTTGGTTTAGCTGTCAATCTGATCACCTATGAAGACCGTTTCAACCTGTAAGATACCTCATTATAGATATGTTTATATTCATTCTCTCCTTTATTTATAGCAGAATATTTTTTATTCAATTGCAGTTATAGGATTGAACAAGAGCTTGGGACTGAAATAAAGCAGATTCCTTCACAAATAGATCAAGCTATATACTGCAGTTGATGGATTGTGGATTGTACATACTTGCCTTTGGTCAAAAACTGTATTTGTAAATACCAGTTTATGGTAAGTTGCTTAATTATGTTTGACGTCTGCCTTCTTTACCAAGTTCTTTCCTTTACTCCGAAGGATTTAGACTTTCATCAAATTACTGTTTCTGCATAGTTGCTGTTGGATATTCCTTTTCTGCAGTGTAGAGCTTTGAACTTCATATCAGGTTAGTTTGGATGCATGGTGTGTTAGGATGTGGAAATATTAGGGTCAAGTTGAGCTTAATATGCTAATAAATAAGCGCTCATCAACCCAAAAGCATAAGGGCTTGTGTGGACACCTTTGAATATGGCTTCCTCCAGGCTGGCCCAATAGGGGCCGGCTGCTCCTATTGAATTAGTCCCTAGTTGACCGGTTTACTACTACAGCCGCCAGTCCAAGGAAGGGAGAGAGAAGGGCCGACTGCTTCTATAGGGCCCACATCTTGATTATATATTGCTTTGGAGGGAAATATTTGAATTATGGGCTCTTTAGGAATTTTGTATTTCTCCTTTGGCTTTAATTAGTTGCTACTTGCTAATGTTTGAATTAGGGTTTCATCTTGAATTTGAATATGAAATTTGAGATATCTAGTGTGCTTGGGCTCTAGTCTCTCAACTAGAGATTTGGAGAGTCGTTTCTTCCTCTCGAATTGAAGAAACGTGTATCTTTTGTTGTTTTTCTGTATCCGTTAGTGGAATCCTTCATTTTTCTCTTAGATTTTCTTAATTTTCTCAAGATTGCTGCTATCAAGTTGTTGTTTTCTTCTGAAAACAGCATTTTTTTCTGCTTTTGGGTACGTTTTTTCTATCAGACGACTAACTGCAAAACCCTGGCCTCTATCATGCACCGGTCACTGCCGCCGTTGCTGGCCTTTGACCACCATTATCATCTTCATTCAATTAAAAAAAGTAACAAAAATATAATGAAAATTCAGAATACCAAATTTGTTTTTATTTATATCAAACACAAATAAAACAAAATAAAAAATCTCATGTGGATTAAAACTTGGTCCTCCCTTGCATTGTTGTGTCTAGCATATTTTCTTTTCTATAGTGAAATCTGTATGGCTCATTATTGCTTTTGCTTCTGACATGCAGGATTTGGTCTATTAACTTAAAGTTTCCATGGATGAGTCAATTCATTGAGGGAGTTTCATGCCTGGCTCATATCAAAATTTAGTTTATTATGATTATTATGCTGTGGGACTTAGCTTTTCACGTATTTGGTACTGTATCTTCTCTTCAGAAGATCTAAACTTTACTTTTTCTGCAATCCCTTCCCAGTTACTTTCTCTTAAGCTGTCCTTGCAGTTTTTGAACGTAATGTAGGTGACAGATGTGTGTGATATCATGCCTTCTATTTTAAACTGTTTTCAGAGCTTGTTATGGGATATTTTCTACTTGTGCATGGAATTTGCGTCCTTCTATTCCAAGTTGTCTTCACTTGTTATTATCAAATCATGAACATTTGTTAAGATCGAATTATTGGCTGAAGATTAGTATTCAGTTTTTTTGGTTTGTCAAATCAGGAGTTCTGTTAGGATTTCCTTATTTTATCTCCAAAAAGATTGCGATGAAAGGTTGCTGTCAACTGCAAGGAAAAATTGTTCTGTGCGGATGTCGAACTTCGTTCAAAGATCAATCAGAATGTGCCATGTAACTCCTCCGCTCGGTACCGTGGTTCGGTACCGCTGACGTGATTGCACCTGATTTACCTCCGGATGCAGAGATGCGTCCGGCGTCCGCACAGAAGAATTTCTCCAACTGCAAGAGGTTTATATGGTGAGGCAATTTATTTGATCTATCGTAATTGTTATTAGCATTATTTTAGGGCATGTTTGTCATCATTAAATGTTTTTTTTTTAATGTGGATAAAATGTGTGAAATGTTTTTGTTTTTAAGCTCTCGAAAATTTCTTTTTTAGGTACTTCTCATTCTTTTCAAAATGTGAACCCCCTTCCAATCTTCTATATGCAAAGGGATGGAATCAGCCATAATTTTTAGGGAGATAAACTTATAACTTTTGGCAGATATGTCAGGGACTCAAGGGGGCAGCGCCTCTGGCGTGGTTCGATTTCTACACAATTTGTTTATTATGTTGGGGGTAATTGCTTAAAAATCATAGTATTTTAAAACGTTTAGAGAGGCAATTGCTTAAAAATACTTTTAATAAAGACTAAAAAAATAGGAGGGGGATAGATTAACTAAAGAATAGTATAATAATAAGTTTTTTTTGTAACGTTATCTGGAGATCAATTAGAATATGTCATGTCAGTGGCATCGAGCTATGGTATCGAGCATAGTGGTGATATAGCGCATTTTGGCTAGCCTTGTGCTTGCCAACAGACTGTAGTCAATATATCAAATATTTTTATTGCTGGGTGCAAAAGATTAATGTTTTTAGAAATAATTATGCACATAGGCTGTGACTGTTGTTAGCAATATCTTTATCATCATCATCAGACATCGATGCCCCACCCACTATCGCTTAAATAGTTAAATCTTTTATTTTGTATTATAAAAAAAAGAAAAGCATATGTTTGATTTAAATATATTTTATTTTATTCTCATAAAGTAATTCAGAAGATCCCTTGAGATTTTGTTTGGCTCAACATTCTTACTGTGTTTTAAGTAATTTTGTAGGCTTAGTTTGGGGGCAAAATTATTGCTTCTTAAATTATTTTTTTAGTATAAAAATTAATTTTTTACTAGAAAATTATTTTAAGAAACACTACTAAATTTTTTTAAATGTTATAATATATAATTTTAGGCACTTTTTTAATGTGATTAAATGCAATATCTATTACATTTAGGCTTTGTTTGAGTCAGCTTTCTAGCTATTTTCTAAAACAACTTTTATGTATAAAAATTTTTAGTTTAAAAATTTTTTTAATAAAAAATTGTTTTAAAAAACAATAAAAAAACTGTTCAAAATGAAGCCTTAATTATATTATTATCACAATATTACAATTAAAATATTGCTAAATAATCACCTTTAATCCCAAATACTAAATCACAACATCAATAGCAACACTTAAATAAATATAAATAAAAATAATAATAAAATTGTGACTACAATACTTTATTTCTTGATCATAAGTTTAAAAAGAAATGTGACTAATAATGAAATATTTAGTCACATGATTTGAAAAAAAAAAACATTATTAAAACTCAAAATTATATTACTGTAAATATTAAAACATTCCACTCTCAAATAATAATAATCTTTTCTTCTCCACTTTCATTTCCTCTCTCATCTTCACAGCTGATCAATAAATAAAATCATAGCTCATATCAATGTCACCTATCATCTCTCCCAACATATCCAGCGATTGCATCTCCTCAAATAAGCCATTGTCATCAAACTCTTCTCTTCCTCCCATGTCTTGAGGACTTAGCCATTCTTCAAATAAAACCTTAGGGAAAGAGCTTTTGAAGCTTCCATTATCATTGATGCTGCAAGCTGAAGATGTGGAGATTTGGTTGATCGATTCCAATTGAAAGTTTTCAGAATTGAAGGTCTGATTCATGGAAGTATTGATCAGCTCTTTTGACGAAATTATGGTATTTTGATGATTTAATTGTAAGACTTTTTTCTTGAGGTATGAGTTCCAGTAGTTCTTGATCTCGTTATCAGTTCTTCCAGGCAGATGAGCTGCGATCCGAGACCACCTGTGAGATGGAAGATTTGTTAGTAAGAAATCTTGAAACTATTTTATTATTTGGAAATTTAAAAATAATTTTTTAAAAATATAAAATAATTAATTTTAACATTGGTTTGGTATAAAATAAAATAAAAATTAATATTGGCTTTAAGGTCTACGTACACTTTCTTAAACTTGTCTATCAAATATAATTATTTTTATTATAAATATAACATAAGTAAAAATCAAATTATATATTTTAATTACATTACTAATACATATTCTTCTATTTTTATAATATAATTAAATTATTTATGATTTTTTTTTTGGAAAACAGTAATGATTTTAGTTTAAAAAATATTATATATTTTTATCCTAATAATGTAATTTGAATCAAAATGTAATAACTGATATTTTTAACAAAAAGTCTCTATTTATATAAAATACAATAGGATTATATATTATTATTTTTTATCACAACATGCTGAACTTTTTTTTGGCCATTTTTTAATTATTAGAGTAATATATATGTTAAATTATACCAATAGACCAATATGCTAATTTTTTTATTTCATGCAAGAAAAATAACCTAGAGATGTAATTTGAAAAAGTCTAACATGTTTAAAATTACATATGCTAATAATAATAATAAAAATAATACCTAGAGTAATATTATTTTTTAAATGGCCTACAAAGTCTTAACATAATAAATATTTTATATCTCATAATTAATTTTGTATTTCATATTAAAACAAAATAATACCTAAAGATGCATTTTGAAAAAGCCTAAAATGCATGTTTGAAATTAGAGATGCTAATAACAAAATATAATACCTAGAGATATGAAATAGATAGAGTAATAATCATAAATATTTTATCTTTCATAATTTATTTTAAAAAATTAATTAACTAATAATACTACTATGTTAAATTTGTCAATTACATATGAGTTATATATCTATTTATTAGAAAAAAAAAAGATAATGTATAAATGAGATTAAGGCTTCGTTTGGGACAGCGTTCTTAATGCTTTCTAAAACTATTTTTTAGTTAAAATTTTTTTAAAAACTTTTGTAAAAAAAAATTATTTTAAAAAAGCAATAAAAAATTATTCCAAACAAAACTTAAATATAGAGCTTTTAATATACATTTGGGCCCGCCCTTATTATATTTATTTGTTTCATTGATATTATATCATTCTCACTGCACTATCATCTCTTTGTGATGATGACCTTATCCAAAATTTCCTTCTTCTTTTGCCTCTTCAAGGTTTTATTTTATGCAGTACTTTAAATGAGTCAAATTTTAATGATTTTTTGTATTATTTGGCTCAATTCATTAAACAAATAAGTTAAAGAACTTTTAATATGTTTGTTTAATTTATTTATCAAGTATTCATAAATAAATAAATAATTTTCTTAAACTAATTATTCAAAAGTTATATATAGTTGAGAGCCACTAATTATTTTTTAATGATTTAGTAAAAAAATAGATGTAATGGACCTCTTTCAACATCAGGATTAAATAATTTTAGTCCTAACAGATTAATTTAATACATTTTAAGCTTTATTTTACTATATTTATATTCTATTCTACCTACTATGCATTGACATTGAAAGCTAATGGCTCCCACTTAGAGCTTTGGAATTCTTTTATTCATTAATTTAATTTTTCTGTCTTATGAAGCTGAGGAGACATTATTGGAATTTTTTGTTGGAAAGTACAATACTTCTTTTAAAGAATTAAAATCAGTGCATTTACTACTAAAACTCTCAATTTAAGTTGTTCATTAGTGTATCATTTGAAAAAAAAAAGAGGCATAGCTTCTTAATTAATCTTCAATATTATTATAAGAATGTGAGCCTATTCTATTGAATCTTATAAAGTGGTCATTTTCATAAGTTGGCATTAATCTAAAAGGAAAGGAATTTTTTTATTAAATTTTATGAAATACATTAATTAAATTCATGTTATTTATGAAAAAATCCTCCCAATGTGAGGCTGCAGGCGAAATGTACTGAGATCGATGAACAACGGAATTTGTGTCTATTCATGTTTGAGGTCGTTTATTATCAGCTTGTTCAAGCTCTATTCCTTGAAAAAAATTATATATGCAGTGTTGATTTCTAGTATAATTGATATTTTCAAAGAGACTCTACATTACGTTCATACTATTTCATAATTTCGTAGTAATAATTAATCGGGTTAAATTTCATAGTTGTAAGATAGATATTATGATGCTACACCAATAATATTAAAATTATAACAATATTTAAAATATCTCTCCAATAAAATCCCTATTTTCAAATGAAAATATATCAAAAATTGAAGCCCTTACTTGTTGCCTAACTTTGCATGCAAGCTCATTATTATCTCTTCTTCCTCTGATGTAAATATCCCTCTCTTCAGCCCCGGCCTCAGATAATTTATCCATCTAAGCCTGCAACTCTTCCCATTCCTTTGCAATCCTATCAAATAAACAAATACAACAAATTACAAAAAAAATCATAAAAATAAATTTTATGTAATATATATACATTTATATTTTTCATGAAGGCAAAGCATAAGAGGAGAAATGAACTCACCAGCTTTTGCAGGAATGGAGCTCCAGCATCCATGGCCATATTGCAGTATATAATCCTTCAGCTTCTGATCTTCTTCAGGCGACCATAGCCCTTTCCTGTAATTCACCTTCTGCTTCTCACATGTCCTCAGCCTCATTTCGCAGTACTGAAATGTTTATAAGAAATATTGAACGGTATGATCTCTGCGTCTTTGCAGAAAGCCAAAAAGTCTGCCTTTTGATGGGGAGAGGCAATCCAAAGCTTGGGGATGCTTATAAAGAAAGAAGTTTAACCTATCTGCATTAGGTAACAATTGTGTCATTTCTTTATTTGATATTTTTATATCAATATATTTTTTAGTTAAATTTTCGGGCACCGGATTTGAGGTTCAAAGTTTTCTATTATGATAAAATTATTAGGTCGGACAGTTAATCAGGAGACTGTACAGCCTCTTGATTGACTGTTCGCACCGAATAATTTCATCACATCTTGAGCTCTAATCTCTATCTCACAATGTGTTTATTTCTTCATGTCTTAGTCATTGCTAGCTTAACATCCTTTTCAATATTTCCAACTAAAAAGCTAATAAAATCATGTTTTTCATTTTAATTATTGATCTTGCTTTCAAATCTCTTCTAAATAATTAAAAATAATAATTTCTTCATAAAGTAAAGGGAATTTGAAAATAATGATGGCTTGAGTATAATTAATGGTGATAAAGACAGTTGACATTCGAAATTCTCCTTCGACCAATTCAAAAAATCTTCTTGTTTATTTATTGTATAAGAAATTTGATTGATTAAAAGACTAATAAATTCAATGATTTATTAGTCTTTTTGTTACAGCTTTATTGTTCAAATTTTTTTAATATTGATGAAGAGAATAAGGGTCTCTTTAGTTTTTTTTTGTTGCTTTACTTTTCAGACAGTAATTATAATTTTGTTTGGCTATTGTTTTCTTGTTACTTTCAAAATATTTTTAAGAAATTTCTAACCGTAAAATTGCTTTTTATAACAAGAGTAGCTAAGTTATTTTCTTCACAATAACTTGACAATCAACATTATAAAAATTACAGGTGTTCCAAACAGACCCTAAAGGCACTCATTGTCCTCTCTAAGGGTCTGTTTGGAATAACTGCAATATTTTATAAAGTTGTTGTCAAGCTGATGGGAAGAAATTAACGTCCCTATTATGGTAGCAAAAAGCAGCTTTCCAAAATAGAAATTTTTTGAAATACGGTAAGGAAACAATAAGAAGATAGAAGTGAAAGAAAATTGTGACTACTGTTTGAAAAACAAAGTAATCAGAAAACTGTCCCAAATAAATCTTAAATTTATTGATTTTTGTTATTTTTTACAGACTTATTATAATATAAGGAAGAGTTCAAAGTAAGACATAAAACATAATTAAATTTTAAAAATAAAAAAGGCATGTGTGGAACTATATCAGATTCATAAAAATTTGTTGCCTAAAGTTTGAATGGTCAAACGATCAAATCTAGAGTTGGTTAGAGTATAATTAAAAAATTATTCAAAATTATTTTTATCCCTATCTCAATTTGAATCAAGAACAAATTTTCATTAATTTGAGCCTAATTTGTTAAATTAAATTCAATTTGAGCAAAAAAAAATTAATATTTTTATTGAGTGTTGGGAGAAGTTCTAATTATTTATAAATAGACATATAATGTCCTATATATGCCCTCATAAATATATACATATAATGTTGGCTCATTTAAGCTCAATTCGGGCTATGTTAAGCTCATCGACTCTTAAATTTCAAACCAAATTTTATTTAAGCCAAAAAAAAATAAAAATCTAATGTTTAACAATTTTCATTAAATTAGTAGTCTATTAGAAATATAGTTAAATACTATCCTCTTAACTTATATATTGAATTCTTTATTATTATTTTTATTCAACACTCCTTTTTCCATATCTTAAAGACATTTTTATTTCTTAAACTTTGAATTTTTAAATAATTAATTGAAGTATTTTTATAAATATTAATGGGATAATTATGTGACTACTTATCTTATATATTTCTCATAATTAATAAATTATTTGTGATATATTTTTAATCTTAAAAAGACAACTTTTTTTTTGTAGGGAATGCCTATTTTATACAAACTATTGAAATTTAAGGACTTTCCCTCATGTTTATCTGTATAAAATTGATTTTGTGAAAATTTGACTTGATAAATAACTTTGACTGAAATTTTTTATTTTGGGTCAACCTGTACAGGTTCCAAATCGTGTTGGGTCAACACTTGAGAGGATTAGAAAAATCGGTTTAATTTGGGTCAAACCATAAATCAGCACTTAATGAAGGATTATTTCTTATCTTAATAAAACTCATATTTAATCTTTTTTTTTTCTTATTGAATGTTGCTTATTTTATTTCAGATTGTTATATAGTAATTTCACATAACCAAACTTAGATTAAATTCAGCTCTTTAAAACTAATTAACACCCTTAATTTTGGGATTAAGCAAATAATTAAAAAATTAATGTTACTAATGCATTAATTTTGTTAATCATGTAGTTTTTAATACATTCCTTGTAGATACAAGTACTATTTTTTTTTTCAAAGGAATATTATGCCTTAGCATTCTTATTCTTTTAATGAAATCTCGAAATTAAAAAAAAAAATTATTGGAAGAGAAAGTAGGGTCAATTTTAAATATAGAGGTTTTGAGGTGATCTGATGAAATTTTCTTAATGATATTATTAGGAGATCGTCTGACGACCTTTTTAGAAGAAGTCCTATTTCGAGCATTTCATTTTCATCGCACTCATATTCCAGCTTATTTCAATTATTAATATTTTGAATTTTGATTACTCCCCTGAACACCGCTCTTATATGATTGATTTTTTTGGCAATTGGGAGGTTCGAGCTCAAATATATGGGAAGGAACGAATTCCATCAACCAATGAATTGTAGCTCGATCCTCGATTGATTCACAATGACGGACCTAATAATTTTTTTCTAAATTGAGACACATAAATTACATTTAATGTTTAAGGGGGCACAAATTAGTAATGTATTATAAAAAAATATCAAATAATAAAGGCTTATTAATCTATCTTCAAATTTTGTATTCATATTTTTTGTTTGCTTCATGAGCATATACTCCTTATTGTATTTATGATTACGTATGAGTCTTACATCATTCATATTCTTAATCTGATTTTTTTTTTCATAAGAAGAACAAAAGGTTAATGCTATTAGTAAATAATACAACTAACCCTTTTTTTAAGCTAAGTTAAAAAATTTTGTTAGGAACAATTGGTGCTATGAGATGACTAACCTATTTGATTTGACATTTTTTATTTACAATTGGATATAAAAGTAAATTAAGTTTTGTCTACACCAAGGCTTCTTTTCTAAATTATTGACAATTGATGGTATCTATATTAGCTGTTATAACTTTCTAAATTTCTTTTAAGAAAAAATTAAAAGGTGTAAGGCGTGGTGACACAAACTGCAATGCTTTGAGGATGACACAATTTGCGGATAAAAGTTGTAGTCGTGCAGGTAGGGGTGTCAGAATTGGATTTCAGGTTGGGTTCGGATCGAAGTCGAAACTGACTCAGGTTCAAACGGGTGACCCGAATACGACCCGATTTTGCAAATGTGTCGAAAATATGAACCCGGATCATGCTCGTCGGGTTATTGGGTTGATACGACCCGACACGATTTTGTAATCATGGGACACCTTATACGCGGATTGTGGGACGGTGGGGCTTGCGTCGACAAGTCGTTTGAGACTGCAGGACGGTGGGACGTCAGGGTGACGACGGGACGGTAGGGTGGCGGGGCTCGCGCCGATGATTGCTCCGTGGTAGGCAAGGCCAGTGTGGGACAGTGGGCCGGGCTCGCATCGGTTAGTCTTGCAGACTGGCACCTAGCGGATAACGATGCTCTCAACGCTGGCAGCGGCATGACAAGTCGATGGACGGAACTCTGGGCTGACGAACACAATTGACTCGACACTCGACAACGCGAACTAGACGACGGGCTGACGAATGCACGTGACTCAACACTCGACAGGGACGGACGTGACTAACACATTTTTTTCCAAACAATTCGAAATCAGATTGCTTTTGGGTTTCAGGGTCAACACGAAACCGAACCATTTTTCCAAACTGGTCAAATATGGGAGCTCGAACCCGACCCATTTTAAAGTTAGATCTGGTCTAATCCAAAAATTTTGGGTCGGATTCGAGTCAGATTTTCTTGTCGTGTCAAATATTAACACTCCTGTACAGTTAGGGATGACAAGTAGCGTGGTGCAAGTCCCAACAGTTGAAATTCATCGGATTTTAACGAATTATAAATTCGTAAACATGAGCGTAGCTTTACTTCAAATAAATCACAAGAAAAATCAAACTCAATATTTCACTACCCCACAAACACACCAAAATAAATTCTATTATAAATGCAAAAAAAGATCTTTTGGTAACTAAATCAAATCATCCCTCAATCAAATGCAAAATATTCTTAATTAATTAAAAAAGTCTTCCATTTTGCAATTATTGTCTATATTTTAACATGTCCATTTTAGTTGGTAAGAAAATAAGAAAAGAATATTCTCCTCGTGCTTTTTAGTACACAAATAATTGGATATCGATTTTATATTTATTTTTTAAAAAAAAATCTTCTTGAAAAAGATGGCTTTCTCATATATTTTCAACAACAAATATATTCTTTGTTCAAAGTTTAATACTTAAGGTTGTCGGCACAAGAAAGCTTGAGAATACAAAGAGTTTAATAAAGTACCTAATTAATCAGTACTACAACGGTTGTTTTTTTCAAATTGGAAACAATTAGTTTAATCATCACAAGCTAGGATATTTTTTTATGAGATTTTTATTGTTTTCAACTGTCCTAATTAATCTCATAAATGCTTATGAAACTTTTGTATAAGCTATGTTTTTTTAATGAGTCACTAGCCAATAAACAAGTCTCATGTCATTTAGAAGGTTACACGGCACATCTAGTCGGTGCTCGACCTTTGTAGTTAATATTTAATTTTGGTTGGCTCGGAATGATAGTGAAGTCGTCGAAATTAAGAGTTATGCTTAGCTCTGAGATTATTTTGGTTTGTTTCTAAGCTCAACTTATTGAGTTGTCATAACATTTAGGCTTCATTTA